TATATATATATATATATATATATATACTTTAAGTGGAATTATGTGACAAGTCTCATCCTATAGCTTTCTTTTGATTTGTGCTTCTGTAAACTCACACCACAGGCTATCATCATGTGTCATGTGATGCTACACATCACATGAATCAATAAATAGTTTTAGTAGTTATATACTGATAGCTACACACACGCTCCTCAGAATGTTTTGTTTATTCAACCAGATCCCCTTTTGATGGACATTCAGATTAATTTTAGGGTTTTTTTTTCCCTATCATACACTGTGGCAGTATTGTGGTCATATTATAGCATGAAAAATCTCATCAAATATCCAGAAGTGAAATTTTTTTAAAGTGTGATTTTAAATTGTAAGGAATAATATTGCACAAAGTCTGCTATAGTGCATTTAAAAGTATTTTCCCCACAACTGTGCCAACCCAGAATGATTCTACCCCTCTTTATTTTTGCCAACAGCAAGGGTAAAAACATGTGTCTCTGCGTTTCCTAACCCAATGCCATATTTATTGGCTGTTGTCCCCTCTCTGAAAGTGGCCTTCTCCATCCATGCTTGCTTTCTCTTGCTGAAGAGCTTATGAATTCTCCCATGTCTGTGAAAGCGGGGTATCTTAGCTGTGTCAGTGTTCTGCATTGTGTGCTGAGGGTGCTTTTGTTCCGTGTTTTGAATGCCTTTCTCCATGCAGATGTTTTGGGTTTTCATGTGGTTGGACCTTTTATGGTATCTTGTTAGCCAGGCTTGCTGAAGATCTCATACCCTGACAGATAATGGATATTTTCTACAAATGTTTCTTGCTCTATAGACTTCTATGACTTTATATTTGCATTTCGGTTCCATTAGGGTTTTAATTTGGAAATTGTGATGATTCCGTCTGAAGAGTTTCTGTGCTCTAATTACGGTGATGTAAGACCTCTTGTGTCTTCATTAGTCTTCTCTCTCATTGGTTCTACCTTAACAGCTTATTTTGGTTCCTTTTCTACCATTCATTGGTGGGCTGTGAATAATTTTTTGACCTATAACTTGTGAGTGCTCTTTGGCAAGAGAGCATCCACAACAGGTATGGAAGAGTGCTGGACATGAGGGCAGACACAAGCTTGCCACAGCGCACATCACAGTCTCCCCATGGCTGGGTCATCTTTCTGCTAATGAGCCTTTTCAGGGGCATGCAAAGGGGAGCAGACTTCTCCCAAGCAATCAGTCCACAATTCTGGAATTCTAGAGCCACCTTCCTCCAGGTTGGAGGTTCAAGCTCCCAGAATCCCCTTCTTTGGGCAATGTGAAATATTGGAAGTAGTATGTCACTCTCTAGTTTCAGCTGTGCAGACTCAGTCTCCCACTGAGGAATGGAACATGCAGGTGTTGTCCTAAATTGGTCCTTTGGGGGGTTCATACTATTGTCTAGTACCACTGAGTGATGGTTGGATGCAAATGGAAATCTGGGCACTATCAATTACTTGCTAGGGGTATCTCATGCTTCCCAGTTCTCCTAAAAAGCATTACTAACTGGTCTCTTTAGTTACAAGGAGGTTTGGTGGTTTTGATTTTTTTTTTTTGTACTTTACTATTTGAAACTGCCCATCTGGGAACTTTAACTAAATCAGCCTTGAAGTTAGTCAAGAAGAGGTTCTGGAATGCTGATCTGTGATAAAGCCACCTGGCAATGCCTTCCTGCCCTAGAATTGAACAGCATGTTACAAAGCATACTTGGGTCCTTTACAAAGTTCCCATCATCTTGTGACATGGGCAAGATGAGTATTCCTAGGCCAACTGTGAATATGTGCAGGAAACTGTGGCTCAAAGTGCCACAAATAAATTGTCTCAGGTAATGTAACAAATAAAATGTGCGGTGCTGGCTAGTTTTATGTCAACTTGACACAAGCTAGAGTCATTTGGGA